GCATTTAAGGGTCTTTGCCTGTGTTGACCATAGATGAGAAAGGGCTGGGGTTCGATTTGCGTTATTCGAACGCATCCGCTGCCACCAGTGTAGAATACCCGAGCCCTAATAGGTAAAAGACCGGTACAACAGAACATGCTTCATTGACCAATCAGAAGCCAGGGCCAGGCGTCAGGCGCCTTCCATCCGAGTCCACCACGCTGCCCATGCCGCTCGTTATATACTGCATCTCATCCATGTCCTGCTCTGGTTGGCTGCCTTCCTTTCCCGCATGCCATTGGATCGCAGAGAGACACAGGATTGGCTGAGGCCAGGTGGTCCAACATGTCTGCGCCCCAATCCGACGCCACACCACACTACAACTGCACACTTCACCACACAAAAACACGGATTGTTGTGGTCATATATCTTTTCGTACCAGCATTATTCTATTTATTGCATTTATGGGCTATCTAGTTTTTCAGTCGAGTAAGTCTTACTCGTGTTCTTTCGGACACCGCGTAGTGCTTGCTGATCTAAAATAATATCCTCTAACTTGTGTTGGTTTTTTCATTCTGACACCCGTTACTCCAAGCACTTGACCCCGGGTTCCGTTGAATTTGTTAATGGCTAAATATTTTTTTGGCTTCGTATTGTCTCTTTCTTGGTGAAATAAGGAATTTTAGTCTTTCAGTGGTTACTTGAATTAAATGATTCTGTACAAATTACGGTCAAGTGTGTCAAGCAGTTAAAGCTCGTGCTTAAATTAATATGTTAGACTATGGGTCTGATGTATCTCAGCACGTGGATTCGTATTTTTTTCTGGTCACGTGGGCCCTTACTTCCATTTGGCCTCTTCGAAATTACCACCCCCATTTCTTTGTAATACGTTCAAAATGTTTCAATTCCGTAATCCTATAGTTATACAATCTAAAACACATCTGGCTTTTTGACTATTTTAAAACAATATACTTGCCAACTGATCTGCTCTAACTGCCACAAGGGAACTTATTGCTTTCTAGTGTATCATTTTTCCCTTGCCTGTCCTTTAAACCAATCAGGCACTTATTGATCTTACAAATGGTTAATTTAACAAAAAATTGTTGGCCTTCTAATTGGAGTTGTCGGTACTTTTTTTTACTAAAAAATGGTAACAATATTGCTTTATTGATTTGCTCTGTAATTTTAATATTTTTCTAGCTTTTTTCGAAAATGCTGATGTTTAAGGATACCTCTTCTTTTGTAGATATGGCGTATCCTTTGCTAGCGATTAAGTTTGTGGAATTCTGAAGCATGCTCCGCCCAAAGATGATTAATCTTTCTCTTTTAAATGGGCATCTAATATGCGGATTATGTGGTGGCTATTTGATCGACGCAACGGTGCTAAAAAATTGCATTCATGCCTTTTGTCGAAGTTGCATTCTCAAGTACCTTTCTGAGTTGAACAAAGTGTGTCCGCTTTGTCAGACTCTAATACAGGAGGGTCGTCCACCTGATGGACTGGAAGCATTACGGCCTGATGTTACTCTTCAGCGCGTGGTCTATAAGCTTGTGCCGGGTCTTCTTAGGGTGGAGATTGATAGGATTGCTGAGTTTCATAAACGCTACGCAAAAAATCCATCGAAGGTGACGCGTGAAGTGCGGCTATCCTGTAAAGAGGCACAGGCCTTGGAAGATTCGACTTCAGCTGATCACCTTGGATCAGGTATCTTTCTTGCTTCTATTTTAAGTTTTTGTAAATCGTTTTTTGTCAAACTTGTTCGTGTAAACGTGGTCACTTCTTGCTTTCCGTGAATGCGTGGTATGTTTCCGAGTCTGGCTTGAATGTTTTCGGGAGTGCAGCGAATGCAGATGTTTTTTTAAAGTATGATTTAACACTTGTATCGTTAAACACGCGATGGAATTTAGCCGAAATTGTAAGGTCGTCGCACTGGATGCAAAAATGGGTCAATTGTTTTAGCAATAAATTATTCCTGAGCATATTTCCTTTCCGTTTGTTGTTGTAGCCTCAACGTTGCTGGCTTTGAATTTGAAATCAGGATTTGGTTCCGTAATGACAGGCTAGTTGTCTCCATCTCTTCCCAAAGACAATTCTTCTTTTGTTACAAACAGCTGTCACTACCGAGCTAGTAAACGTAAATCTTTTCATTTGATTCTTATCAAATTGTTGTCCTTCGGGTGTAAAGGACTGGCTAAGCCGTAAGAAACGTTTTCCTTCTAATTCACGCCATTCATTGGTCTAAATTGGAAGAAGTATTTGGCAATAGTTGGAATTGCACTTCAAATCTTCTGAAATCGGCCAACTGTTTAACTAATCTTAATGAACTGTTGTCTTTAAATGAGCTAGAGAAAATAGAATGTCAAATCTTTTATTCGGTACGCCCCCATTTCCCATTTTATACCACAAAGTTTTGGTACTGTTATATTAAACTGTGAACAGTGGAATCACGAAAAAGTTTCCGTTGGTTTATTTTTTCCTAGGTCTCTCCTCTCCAACACCTACTCCACTGGCCACTCGTTCTCTATCACGCAGCGTATCCTATCCCTACCAATTTTCTGGCCATCACTCAGTCAAATCGTTCCCCCCAGCTACTTCGATCTCCTGCCTGATCGACACAACGGAAAGTGTCAGTCTTTCCTTGGACCCCTTAAATCCCGTACACACTCCTCCGTCTTTGTCTTCCCCCTCGGAGGCTTTCTTTACCACCGTGTACCTCCTTTGTCCGGCATCATGCACCGTAGCTCACTTACAACGTCTTTTGCTGGCCAAACACGATGACAGTGCTTTTCCTGGTCGCTGGACTGTGGACATATTTCTTGATTGTGAGTACTTGGAGCCTGCTCACAGTTTAAGGGAGCTTGCTTTCCTCTACGCCTGGCCAACTCAGCGTCGAATGTTGCCCCTGATGTACCGCTTTTCCGACAGCCGAGCAGTCTGGTGGGGCTCTCCCATGCCACGTCTTGATCCCCCTCCGTTACCTACTACTCCGCAGCCGGTCAAAAAAAGGAAACGTTTTTCAACCTAGCAGCATTTAGTACCCGTAACACTGCCGCTCCACACTCGTCTTCGTTCCCCTGTCTAGTCACTCAGCGACGCTTGTTGTCTTATACTGTGCGTTCGTTCCTGTATGGTTTTATTTAAGTGTCTTTCAGAGACCGAGAATCTTCTACCCCGCTTTGACTCTAAGTCTGGTATTTTACTTTAATCAGATTTTAACTTGCAACCAGTTTACCCTCATTTCTTCCCCCACTTGATTACGTTGCGTACACACCAAATCGGAAGAATACGAAATCTAGTATACAAATATATTGCCTTCTTCACTGCACCTTTAATCTTTGTGTGTGTGCGTTCATAATGCTTCTAAAAGTGTCTACGATTCTGATGCATTTTGTCGCATCGTAACGTCCACATATTTGTGGTAGGCTTTTCGTTTTCTAATGTGTACATAAATTGTTTTAGTGCACATAAAAGTGTATAGTTCTGTCGGTGGGTAGACTTGCTGGCTCAGGATGTTTTCTTTTCGCACCTCAAGGACTGCTGGTAAAGTTGAAGCGACAAAACGAGATTCTCGCACTGGGTGCGTAAATTTCGTGCATCGCTAGCTAACCTGAAGCACGTCCACCATGCTCGTCAAATTTCCCAGGTGTTTCCATCATCAATTCCGATCCTTTTGATAACCATCAATTTGACAGTGCGATTTTGCACCATAATTATTTCGGTGACTAAACCGTGGAGCAAATAATTTGAGACTATTATAAAACAGGGTCTTTCCTAACATTTCGTAGATCGAATGCCAATGTGACCCCAAACTGATTATCCCGAGTGGATGGGATCGTCGTCGTGTGTGGGTGGGGCTAAGAGGAATTCTCGTTTGTTGGATACGCAAATTCTCACGATTTGAGAGGCAGAACTTAAGCATCAACGCATTGTTCATTCTCAAGTCTTCACTTCACTGTTTCTTTACAACCGCCTTTACAAGAATAATATTCAAAAGATGTGCTGTTTCACTAAAAAATACCTCCAACTGCTTACCCATTAATACCTTCCAAAATTGTTCTGCTTGAATCATTTTTTTCCTAAACTGTTTGGAACCCACAAAATATATTGCATGGTAACTAATAAACTGCCAAATCATTCGAAAAGGAGGTATCCGTGTAGAGTTGTTAGGCTATGGGATGCTTGGATGACACCGGCCCACTTGGCACACTTTCTATTGACTCAAATGTCATTAACAGAATCTGTGCTTTATACAAAAAACGCAGGTTACCTTATCTCAGTATTGAGTAATTTGAGTTAGTCACCAAAAGATATATTTTGTTTAATGTTCATAAGTTTGCATTAAACTCTGCTGTTTGTGATGCCAGTGGTGCGTTGATGTCATGAAATTCCTATGCTCTCTGCCTGAATACAAATTTTAAAACATGCATTGAGGTTTGGGTATCAATTGTTCTTCGGCTGTCGCTGGCTCTAAAGTCCAGCGTTTTTCGTTTGCTAGGTTCGCAACGCAGGTAGTGCTGATAATGTTCTACGTTTAGTAAACATCTACGCTGCCGTCCATGCTTTGGGATATTTTGTTTCCTTCCACTATGCATAGAAACGGGAGCTGTATTTGCTAACGTGTAGCAGTTTCTAATATTTAACATTTCCCCAGATTTTCTGTTGGTACATTCCATTGTTCGTTGTTCGCTTCTTTTACTCTTTCCTAGGGAACGAAATTTGCAAAATGTCTGCAAAAAATAGCATATTAATCAGGTACAACCGTTGTTTCTAGGATTTAATACATCATAAGATAACAATTCCCTTTTGTTGAATCGAGTGCTCGTGTGATGGACCACAGATAATTTCAGTCAATGCAATTAACTAATGTGTACTCGGTGCATGCCTAGTTATGAGGTATAAGCCAGTCTTTATCCCTTGAACCAGTCTGAAATCACCATCAATCACATTGTGTGACTGGTAATCGTGCACTACTCAGGAATGCAACGCCTAGTGAATCTTGACGTTTCGCATTCATCTTATCTGTCGACGAACGTCTACACAACGCGATCATTTAAACCTCTTCAATAATCGTATTTCTGTTTACCTTCCTCTCCCACCTTTGAGCATCCACATTGTAGTTTATGCGGACACGTCTGAGCATGCCTTACATTCTGTGTATCTCACTGCTCACATCTGCTTCTGCCAAGTTTACACGACTCTGTGCACATCAGACACGACAACACAAGGAGTTGAGCCATGGAGTAAAGGGATGCGTCTGAGTATTCGCGTGGCGCAACCGGGCGTCAACGCGTGGACGGCCCCGGACTGGGTTCAATACACACGTCTGGGATCCCAACAGTTAGCGACCTTAACCCTGGCACTACAAAGTACGGGAATGTTGTGATAATTCAAGTCCAAAAATTAGTGCCGGATAAAGTATTGACCTGGTTAATAAAATAATACCTCATTTGTTGTCACTTTCTGGTTCATTGAGATGTAAAAATGTATGCTACGCTTCATTTTAGATGACGGATCCAAATGAGCCTTTTTCCTTACTGAACGAAAGGCTTGACCGCCTGGGAATCTGCTATCTCTGTCGTTACAGGCTCCTCCACGGTTCGTCATTCCACTGTTATGGCTTTCCGAAACAACTGCATGAAGACGTAAAGGTGATCCGTGGGGAAACGTCTAGTTGCTCCCTTTGTTTTGGGCTCCTCTGTGGTCTTCTTGCGTCATCCGACGTTGACACCCATGTCTTGGCCGACCATGCTATCGCCCAGATTGTAACAGAGGTTAAAGCGTCGCAATTGGATTTTTCTTCCTTCCAGTTAAATGTACGTACTTTGCCAATCGTGATTATTTTTCCACGACGCTCACCTAGTCCATATATACGAGGTCTGAGTCCGCTGCCGAGTCAACAGACAGATGATAGTGTTGGTTCATGCCAACTATTTCATCACCACTAATTGTCGTGTACTAGTTATTGCCACCGCATTGCACCCTCACAGATGTGTTCTTTAACTCTTAAGACCGTCATCACTGAATCCCTCAACTTCTGACCCAAATTATTCACATCACTGCATTCACCTTAGAAAATTTAGTCCTTGAAATTGTGGCTTTCATTGGTTTATTTAAATTTTCCAATTTCGTTCATTGGCTGTCCGTTTTAGGTATCAGAGCCTGCCATTTTTGCTCTCCGTGACCACGGTTTTTGGGCATACATGCGTGAAAACGGTAGTGTCGGTGAATGTCCTCGTTCAGTAGATACCTTGGAGGAAGATTCTGTTCCTGCCAAAGTCGTCTTTCGGAATCTCGTACACGATCGGTTGATGAGGATTTTCCGAGTGGGTTGGTTGAGTTTCTTCATCCAAATCATAATCAATCTTCTAAACGGATGCCATCGGTTCACAGGAAAATCGCATGCATATTAAGTCAATGAATTATATAATCTGTATCCATTTGTAAGCCATAATCAATTCACTACATATCCGGCGTGCTCATTTAAAGGACAACGAGTTGCACAATGCTGTTACTGTCTGTGTGAAGCAATGGTTATCAAGTGTAAAGGTAAAAAAAATCGTCACGTGCATTTTCACGTACTTATCTTATTGTGGAGTATCAGTGTTTATCAATCTTAGGCCTACCATTTATTTGCTGGGCACGTGTGTTTGGCCTGGGGTCACCTTAGATTGAGGAGATCTGCATTTCTCCCTGTCCTGTTTCTTAGATAAAGTCTTGAGTTGCCTTGACTGTAAAATTAAGTAGACAAAACTTAGCAACAAAGCTCAGCTCCCTGTCCAGAGTTAATTAGTTGCCTTTACCTGTCTACCCAGCCAAATTATTTAGCTATTTATTTGGTTGACATTAGTTAAAATTTGAAATAATAAATAATGCAGCATGGCAAGTTAACTTTTTGTGCTCTCAAAGAATCATGTGAGTAGAAGTTTTACCGATGCGAATTGGGTTGGAACTCGTGCAACGTGCATTCGCGGTACCATAATTCCCTACCAGTCGTTCGATTTGGTGTTGCCGAGGTTAATGTGATGTTTTCTAATTTATGATTATCCACTTCAGGACACCAGGTTGTCACTCGTGAGTAGTTTCGTTGGGCAAACGCCATCTAAAGCCAAGTAAAATGCTTAAATATGCGGCTTTTACTTAAAGTATCAGATTAACCACTTTGTGGATGTAATATGGCATGGATCTTGCGAACCAAAGACCAACCTAAATGTGAGCTGTGCGTTATTCCAACGTTCAGCGGCAGCTGACGTGCAGCACGTGTTGGTCCTAGAAACCTAGACGAGGCAATTGCGCCCACGAACGAACCGTTTTTGGGCACGTGGAACTAAAGCTGTTTGCCGGCACAAGTTTAAAGTAGCGAAGTTATCGGAGGAAAATTAGCGTCGTGTGGTGAGTAAATCTCTTCGAAATCCCTTTAACTGATGCATACATGAATTTGTAGTGAATCGTGTTGATTCACGTCCAATAACCCTGTCCTCGCAGCTTTCAGCACACCTACCCCCTTGTCACGTGAG